GACAATGAGAATGAGAAATTGATGGTGGTAATGATTGCACAGCTCTTCGTAATATGACTGAATTACTCAGGAGTCTGATGTGTCAATAAAATTATTTTTTAAAGAGAAAATGTTATGTGCAGTTCTACTCTGAGAATTTGGGGGTTACTATGAGTTTGAAGTGATTTGGACTTGTATTCAGCTTAAGTACATTTGTAGATCATTCCTTTTTCTAGGTCCATTTAAAAAATTTAGCGTCCAGACCATATTCTCTTCATGCTCATGGACTTTCCTATGAAAAATCATCAGAGGGAAAGACTTACGACGATGACTCGCCGGAGTGGTTTCAGGAAGATAATGCTGTTCAGCCAAACAGCACTTATACATATGTCTGGCATGCCACTGAGCGGTCGGGGCCAGAAAACCCTAGCTCGGCCTGTCGGGTTTGGACCTACTACTCATCTGTGAACCCGGTAGGTATATCCTCAAAGATTTCTGTCAGTCTCCTGACCTTAGAAGGTGAGCACATGCAAGGGCAAAGTCAGATCCGTGAGGTGTTCTGGGGTCTTGGTTTTTGTGAGCAATACGAAAGGACTGTGGTCTACACTGACCATAATCAAGGACCATGCATGCTTTCAGCCTTTCGGAAAGCAGAGAAACAGAAATATTTGTTCTGCGGAGAACAAATAAGGATTATTTAAATGGCTACCCCCAATTTCGAGTGACTATTTATTTTCACCAGGAGCCCTGCTAACCTCAAGGTCAGTGGTTAGAAACCACAAGCCCCCCCTTCAGAGAAAAGTGAAGTTTTCAGCTCTTGTAAAGATGTATAGCTTCGGAAACCCAACAGGGCAGTACAACTCTGTCCTATAAGGTGGCTGTAAGCTGGAATCAATTCAATGGCAGTGAATTTGAGTGTGGCTTTTTCAGAGGAAGATGTTTATTTACATAATGAATTTCCTCCAATGAGTATTAGCTTCCTTCTGTTCTTTATGAAAGAACTGCAAAACCAAGACTCCTTTATTTCAGGAAGTGTAAAGGAGCAACGGTCTTAGACAGAAATTCCTGTCTCCATAGGTACTGTGTGTCCCTAAAAAAGTTATTTGAACTTTTATCAGCCTTAGTTACCTGAGGTAAAAATAAGAAAACAGTGCATTGCAAATAGTAGCTATTTGATAAATATTTGTTCAATGCATGAACATATATTTACTATATAAGATTGGTGTTAGATTAATGAGGCACTATGAGCAAATCATTTAACATACTGGTAGATGCTCAATATAGAGAAACCATTCTGTTAATGACAGTATCATCATCATCATCACTACCTGGTTGGTATAAAGCATTAATCAGAGGGAAAAATATGAATGCAACAGAGTTTGATGATAAATATCAAAGCCTATTAAATTATGTCCTTATAATCTTCTAGTTCAGAGTCTATAGAGCCAGAACCCAGGAGCCCCGGTGGCCTCGTAGTTACACTTGGGACTGCAAGCAAGTTCAGCAGTTTGAAACAACCAGGCACTTTGAGGGAAAAAGACAGGGAGGGTGTTCTACTCCCATAAAGAATCACAATCTTGAAACCTCACAGGCGCAGTTCTACCCTGTCCTATGGGGTCACTGTGAGTCTGAGACGACTCATTAGCAGTGAGTGTAGTGTCGAAATTAGAAACCCTGGTGGAGTAGGTGGTTCTGCATGGCGCTGTCAACCACAGGCTCAAGGATGTGCTCCATGGAAGAAAGAGGTTTTCTGCTCCGTCAAGGCTTACAGCTTCCGAAGCTTTCGGAAGCCCTTCTGTGCCCTGTGGGGTCACTAAGAGTTGGGATCCACTGGATCACAGTGGGCTTTGGGATTGAGAAGGCTTTCTTTTCCTCTGATCAATGATTGTCGGAGAGCAAAGATGGCCCCGAGGGAAGGGAGAACACAAGCAACATGTATGCCTTCCTGTCTTTCAGGAAAAGGATATCCATTCTGGCCTGATTGGCCCCCTGCTCATCTGCCAAAAGGGAGCCCTGCACAGGGAGAGCAACTCGCCTCTGGACATGCGGGAGTTTGTCTTCCTTTTTATGGCCTTTGATGAAAAGAAGAGCTGGTACTACAAAAAGTCGCCCAAGAGGTCATGGCCACCTGAGTCCTCCGAAGTGAAACACTCCCACGAGTTTCAGGGTATTTTTCCTCTGTCTTTGATCTACTCTCTGAATTACAGCTGACTGAATTATGGGGACCTCTGCCTTTAGGTCTTTAACAGACTGAGCCTGAAATTCCAGGCGCTGTAACTAAAAGTAGCTCCTTAAAACTGCAGAGACGGCTGCTGTAAGCTCGCCGGTGGTACGATGGGTGAAAAAGAAAAATGTTTGAAAGATGGCATACTAAGCGTGATGCAAAACGAATGAGCAGAAAAGCCACTCTGCATAAATGACTGTCGTTGGTTGCTGTTGAGTCTAAATCCACCCCATTAGTGCAGAGCAGAACTGCCCCTCAGGGCGTTCAAAGCCGTGGCTTTTCAGAAACTCCTCCTGAGGCCTGTTTTCTAAGGGGTCTCTGGAAGGTTCTAACGGCCAACCTTTCAACCTTCCAGCGACTAGGCGAATGCTTAACCAATTGCACCACTAAGGACTCTAGCCGCGTAGGTTAGCAGCTTACTCAAAGGAAGTAATATTACTCAGCATTATTGAAAGTGAATTGGTTTCATGATCTCTAAAGGTATAAATGCTACCCTCTGCTGCTTGTAAAGGAGAAATGGCTATCCGCCCCTTTTCCACAGTAAGAATAAGTCTGGTTCTGGTTTGAAGCAGCTCTCCGCATCCAAAGCACGGCAAGGGAGCATTTGGGTACCCACCTGGGGAGACTGCCCACACGGACATTTACACAGAAATTTAGCCTGTACATTGGCAACTGACTTACAAGGAATTTTGTTGAAGAGCAGAATGTAAGGTGGGGAGGAGAGCAGAGACTGGCTCCAGGGCCAGGGGGGCGGAAGGAGGGAGGCTAAGAAGCACTGTTTTCAGAGTCTGACGGATGAATCTGATTCCACTGAGAGTTCGGATGGGGGGGTCTGTGCTGGGGTTAAGCACTGGGCTTCCTGGAACTGCAGTGCGGGTGGATCAAACTCACCGGCTGCAGCACAGGAAGAAAGATGAGGCTGTCTGCTTTCATGAAGATTTGCAATCATGGAAACCCATTGGGCAGTTCCACTCCATTCACTAGGGTTATGAGCTGTTAGAACAGACTGGGCAACAGTGGGCAGGTGCTCCTGTCATGGGTCAGGTGCCCAGTTTAAGGGAGGAAAAGGTTGCTATTTCAGAGGGGGGAGACCTGTTGCTCTATATGGCATTCCAATTCAAGACCACCTGCACTTCTAGCCATTCACCAAGGAGAAGCAGGTCTATGCTCCCTCCCCACCCCATTCACATATTCCGGTACCCCTCTATACATCTATATTATTTATTCCTCATTAAACATATCAGTGTTTGTTACAACCCCATGTCACCTGAAAAGTACTTTGAAGGCAGAGGGGGGCAAATCATATGATTCTGATCTGCCCCAGGACCCCACCCACTAATAATGATATTGCTATTGTTCATCGTCATCATGCTGGCCCCAGTCTCCTTTCAACTGTACACACCATGGGACTGGATTATTGTTATTAATAGGGTTTTTACCAGCTGATTTTTCTGAAGTACAACACCAGGCCTTTCTTTCTGCTCATTAAGATAACTCTACTTATTGCAAAGTTTTAAAAATATATACTAAACTATCTAGAGTAGGACCACTGAGACGACGTTCTCTTCGCAACAGACTCCAAGCAGTGCTTTTTTCTCTCCTCTCCTCCCATCCCACGCTCTCTCAGGCTGCTTGCTTGGCCTGAGGAGCAGGAAACACGCCCTTCAGAGAAGCTGTTCCCCGAGAAGAAAAGCACATATTACAGAATCAGACAGTCTGGTCTCTTAGCTGGGCTTGAGGACACTGTTTTTGGTTGGCACTGCTTCCTGGTTCCGGGTCAAATGCATCCAGTATCATTCCAGTGTTCAGTGTACGGTCAAGCTTCATTCCATGCATGGTGGCATTTCCCCTGTGCAGCACCCGAGTACCCAGGCCCTAGCTCAATGGCTGCTCTTTGCACTATGTGCTCAGTAAATATGTGGTGGGTGGATGAACAAATGACCGGATTGGATCAGCCAGCTCAGTTTATCAAATGTTGACTGGGCATTGGCATTGCTTCAGTGGTTTAGCAATGCTGACCTACTTATCCTCTGAGATGCCTTTCACTCTATGGAGATAGAGTAGTACTAAAAAACTCAGATGAGGGGGAGAGGTCTGTGGCTTTGACTATGTACACAGGTGTGCCACTAATTCTAAGAATGCCGAAATTATCCCTGATCCATCTCCAAAATCTCACATGCCTGGTTCCTCTAACGTAAAGAGACCCTGTTGTTGTTGTTGTTGTTGTTGTTAGATGCCATCTAGCCTGCTCCAACTAGAGGCAACCCTGTATACCGCAGATGGAAGTGGTGCTCAATTATCATTACGTCTAAGTGCATTGTTGCAGCCAGCGTGTCAGTCCCTCTCCTTAAAACTAGTCCTCTTTGGCACTGACTTTCCCTCTACTTCACCAGCTACACCCAGTTAAATATTTGGTTGCACTGAGCATTATTAACCGCGATTTTGTTTAAGCACACCTATTTCTCAGAGAGGGAAGAAAGCGTGCACCCCGGACATCTCAGTTAGGAAGGGCCATACTAGTGAGAGAATAAACACATGAGTGGGCATGAGAAACCCGGACTCCCCACAGGTGCCTGGAACGATCTCTAGTTTCAGAAGGCGGTTAGGTGACCTAGGAGTCGTGAAGGAACAATGAGTTACACACATTGAACTGCTAGCCACAAGGTTACTCCTAGGGACAAACTGGAAGTCATCTGTGTTTGTAAAGATGACTTTGGGTTTAAATCCAAAGGGACAGTTCTCTATCATATAGGGTTGCTATGAGTCCTAATCAGCATGATGGTCGTGGGTTCGGTTTTGAGTTTGGGGCTTAGGGTGATATGAAGCACCCCTAGTGGCACAATGGTTTAAGCATTGAGCTGCTACCTGAACGGTTGATGGTTGAATACACCATCCAGTCTGTAGGAGAAAGATGAAGCCGTCTGCTTCTATAAGGACGCCTGAGAAACCCCGTGGGGGAGCTCTGCTCTGCCCCATAAATTGCTATAAAATGGAAGCAACTGCAGTGGTTTTGGTTAACCACCCATCTTTTGTAGCCAGGGAAAATGGCACTATAGATGCAGGGGGGAGAGGGGCCAGACACAGAGCAGAAGTATAATATCTGGGAAAACACTGATAATATGCGTGGCAACAGAGCTCACTCACACTTCTGCTCTGGGCTGGTGTGTGATGTGGGCCAGACCACAAGGAGCTGGAAGTTCTGTTTCAACATCTCACTGGTAAGATGGTGTCTGGGGGCTTCTTCTATCGCTCCAAGGGAGAAAAACAAGGCTGTTTGCTCCTGTAGAGATTTACAGTCTCTGAGACCCAAAGGGGCAGTTCTACTCTGTCCCACAAGGTCACTGTAAGTAAGAATTACCTTGATGGTGGTAAGGGTGCTTCTGGTTTTTCGACAGCTGGATGACTCTGAGAATGGGGGATAGCGAGGAAATGGGCGGTGAGTGAGATCTCCCCCAGTGTAGACAGATTTTTAATGGATTGCACCTCTCTTTCCTTTCAGCCATTAATGGGATGATCTACCGCTTGCCAGGCCTGGTCATGTACGAGCAAGAGTGGGTGAGGTTGCACCTGCTGAACATGGGCAGCTCCCAAGACATTCACGTGGTTCACTTTCATGGCCAGACCTTGCTGGAAAATGGCACCCAACAGCACCAGTTAGGAGTCTGGCCCCTTCTGCCTGGTAAGGCCCTGGACAACAACGCAAAGAGAACCCTGCCAAGAAATGTCCAGAGCAGACGATCTTTGCGTCATAACTCCTCCTCACTCCCTCCTTGTAGATCTGCTTTCAAAGGGATCAGAAGCCAGAGTTCTGGGGAAGCCGAAGTGAAAACTGTATACAGAGTTTTAAGAACATCAGCTATTGATGACATGTCTGCAGCACCACATAGACTAAAGCGATAAGACGCTGTGTCTAAGCTAGGCTCACCCAAGTCACTGTGTTTCTCTCACAGGGCAAGTTTGGGCCACACGGCACAACGGAGGGCCCAGCTACTCTTAGTCTGTCAGAAGGAGACTTTAGGGTATTCCTAGGGTTTCAATATGCTTGAATTCTCTTGTATCTATTATCCTGATATCTGTGGGCAGGTGGCACACTGTGGGACTCCAGCCTCAGAATGATTCATGACACTGTAGATTTTTTTGAAAAATTTTTAATTATGAAAAGCAAAGAATGGCATTGGTGTTTAGAAATTTTCATATATAGACTATTGATAAAGTTTAAATAAGCCATGGGCATCAAAAAGGATGTATGATGTGCCAATGAGTTGTTTGTACATGTGTCTGTGTGTAGTAAGTACCTGGGAGGGGATGTGAGTGCCAGCTACTCCAGATTCCCAAACTGTAGTGAGCATAGTTATAAAGACCTAGGATGCTGGTTAAATTGGATGCTAAAGCAGAGATCTGGCTCCCAGAGACTCTGGTACATTAGGTCTTAAGTAGAAGGGCACCAGAGCCTGCATTTTGACCAAGCAATCTACAAATGCTATTCAAGGAACAGGGAAAGCCATGAAGTCCCAGTGAGCTTGGGTTGGTTGAGGGAAGAGTTGACTAGGA